ACAGAGGTGAGGCAGATGTGACGATCCCACGGGACTGGGCCCCGGACGCTGCCCAAAGTCCCACTCGCAGTCTCCCCTGCGACCAGGGCTGAGTGTGGGGCCCAGGCTTGCCAATAGCAGGGCCTGGGAACCAGGGCATTCCAGTGTACCCTGGGCCTGGATCCGAGCAAACTTTGTTCAGAACGCCTTGCACCCTGGTGCCTGGGCCCCGGGGCTGTCCAACATGAACCTTTGCTTGCCTGAGAAGCTGGGTCCCCATACCTCAGACTGGGGATCAGGTCTTTGGAGTGATGGGAGGTGGGGGAGACAGGTTATTGTGGAGAGCTGGGACTCCTAGGAAAGGGTTCAGTGACTGCTTGGCAGGTGGGTGAGGAGCATGGTGTCTTCCTGGCAGCAGACAGCAAGTGGGTAGGGACAGAGACCCATCTTAGAGACCCTCCAGAGCTGCTTGGGGACCAGGGAGGAGGGAACACAACTCGGCATTCTGCCTCCCATTGTTGCCTGACCCCTGGGAAGTAGACAGATGCCAGAGACCCCTCTCCCAGCCCCACTGACATCATACCCACCCTCAGCACACTAGGGGCTTCAGCAGAGACCAAGTGGACAAGGCCCTTCCCCCAGACCTGGGGAGCAGCTATAGATGCCCTCTACCAGAGGGTCACAGAGTCCAGCTCATGGAGCTGGCATCACAAGCAGTGAGAATGAATCCCAGCTTGACCAGGTAGCACATATGTGTGGCTGTGCCACTCAGAGACCCTTAGTGGCCCTTGGTACCTGCTGGCACATGGGAGAACAAGGATGAAGTGGGGTCAAGGAGCCAGCCCTTGGCTCTTCTGATGACCCTCCACAGGGCCACTGGCGGCAAGCACCCCACACCTTGCCCAGTGTGTCAGCCTACTCTGGCAGTACTCACCACCTACTTCTGGAGGAAGGCACGAGTGTGTGGCTACACAGTGGACCCCTCCACCTGGCTTGCCTAGCCCCCAGCCCCTCTTTAGACACTTGAGACAGTTCCATCCTTGGAACCTGACCATCCTACTGCTGCCCAACAGGAGCATCCCTGCCAGCAAGAAGGAGGGTGGGTAGGAGGGGCTGAGGGTCCCTGAAGAAGGGAGGACACAACCAGAAAGGCAGGGAGCAGCACAAGGCACTATCACCAACAGGCCAGGGTACCTCGTGGGAAGGATCTCCCAGGCCCAGGGAAGCCTGGCCAGTGGACTCAGTTCTCCCTGCCCCCTACCCCAGCAGAGGCAGTCCAGCGAGATGGGCTGGTTCTGGATCAGGGCGCCTCAGGCTTTTACAACATGTGCAAAGTCTATAAACAGTGAGTTGTATTGTTTGCAGCGTCAACGTCTTTATGTGAAACAGTTCCTCTGGCTGCTTTGTTCTGTGACCTGCTTGCTGTTTACCCTTATGTTTCTGAGTGTTTTTTTTCTCAGCTTTAAAAAATGATTTATCTAGTTTTTCTAGAAAGGCAGATCAGATTTGCAGAGAGGAGAGGCAGAGAAAGATGTTCCATCCACTGGTTCACTTCTCAAGTGGCTGGAATCATCAGAGATGGGCCAATCTGAAGCCAGGAGCCAGGAGCTTCTTCTGGGTCTCCCACATGGGTGTATGGTCCCAAAGCCCTGGGCCATTCTCGACTGCTTTCCCAGTACACAAGCAGGGAGCTGGATGAGAAGTGGAGAAGCTGGGACATGAACTGGTACCAATATGGGATCGCGGTGCATGCAAAGGAAAGATTTAGCTATGGGGCCATTACGCTTGGCCCTTTGTCCAACTTTAAAAAATAAATCTCAGTTTTATTGAGATGGACATTGGTTTCCTGGAGCTGGTGCCACACCCTGTCCTTCATTCCAGGTTGCTTCCCGGCTAGCTCTACTGCCTGCCTTTCCTGGCTTCAGGGGTTGGCTTCCTAGCACCCCCGCTCCCCAACACACACTACACTGCCTTGCTCCAAACTCTGCCTCCATTTTAAGTTTTATTTATTAATTAGTTTTTTTATTTATTAGAAAGGCAGAGTGATACACAGAGACACAGAAGGAGATCTTCCACTGTAGATTCACTCTCCATCCAACAGTTGGGGCTCAGCCAAGCTGAAGCCAGGAGTCAGAAACTCCATCCATCCAGGTCGGCTACGCGGGTGGTGGGGACCTGCTCTGCTGCCTCCCAGCATGCGTTAGTAGCCAGCTGGATCACCGCAGTCAGGATGCTAGCTGGCACACTGATGCACCTGTACACAGCAGGGCGTGAGGTGGGGTCGGGGGAGAAGCACTGGGCCCTATCGAGCCCCGGAAGGTGAAGCCTGCTGGTACAGGGCGCTCTGCTGCTTCTTGCTGCCTGGCGGCCATCCCTCCAATTAGGATGAGAGTTAGAGGGTTGGCCAGGTTCTGCCCAGAGGCTTGCTCAAGCTACAGCCAGATGACGGTTGGACTCTCCCTCATCGGGGTCCCTGATGCTTGTGCCTTTGGCTGGGGGTCCATGGGTCCCCTGATCATTTCTGTGCATACAACCTTTGCCTGTGGCCTGCCTGGATGCTCCCCCTACCCTGGGTGGCCGTCCCATGTGTCTCATAGCACAACTCCTCCAGAGAAGGACTCAAGAGGCCAGGAGACACAGACACAAAAATATTTGTTTATCTGAAATCCAGAATAGAGAGAGAGAGAGACAGAGAGAGAATGAGAATCTTCCATCCTCTGGTTCACTCCCCAAACGGCTACAGCAGCTGGGCTGGGCCAGAGTGAAGCTAGGAGCTGCATCCAGGCACAATAGCAGGGAGCTGGATGGGAAGCAGAGCAGCCAGGACAGCAGGTACAGCAGGTGGTAACTGACTAGTCCACAGTGCCAGCCCTGTGAGGTTTCCCAAGGTCCAGCCTGGCAGGTCCCAAACCACCCCTTCTGTTGAGTTCTACTGCCCAGGGAAGTGCCCAGGCCCAGTCCCCGCTGAAGGAGGGAGGCTTGCACCCACTTCTCAGGGAGGGCTGTCACTTCCCTCTGTCACCAGGTTAGATGTCTCAGCTGTGGGTTGCACTGCCCAGTGGGCTTCCACAAAGCAGTTTTTCATGTGCACTTAGTTGGAAAGGCTCACAGACCACATGCCTGACTGATCCAGGCTTGACTCCAGGTCTTTGACCCAGGCCTGACTGACCCTGAGCCTGGTTGACCACAAACCTGACTGACCCCAAGCTGGACTGACCCTAAGCCTGACTGACTACAAGTCTTACTGACCCAGGCCTGACTGACTTCAGGTCTGATGTTCAACTGCAGGGCTGACTGACTGCTGGTCTGACTGACCCAGGCCTGACTGACCCAGGCCTGACTGACCCAGGTCTGACTGACCCAGGTCTGACTGACCGACCACAAGCCTGACTGACCCCAAGCCTGACTGACCCCAAGCCTGACTGACCCAGGCCTGACTGACCCAGGTCTGACTGACCCGGGTCTGACTGACCCAGGTCTGACTGACTGCAGATCTGATGTTCAACTGCTGGGAACTGTGAGCTACCAATCCTCCCTCTTTCGTTCCCTGTAACCCTGTGTCTGGACTAGCAAGAAGGCCCTTTGGAAATGCCTTCAGGAAAGCCCTGGCCATTTTCAAGGACCTCACCCCTTCCTCACAAGCCATTTTCAGGCCAGCTTTGCTTCCCATAAGAAAATGAAAACCTGAGTGAATGAACCTGTCATCAGCCTCTGGTAGCAGGGCTGCCCTCACTGGTCTCCAGCTTGAACCACAACTGGGACATGGGCTGATTTTAATTTAGGGTGCCCACAAAGCACACTGCCCCTGCAGGGCGTGGGCCTCATCAAGGTTAACCAGGCACCCTCAGATCTTTTCATCTTTTAAACAAATATATATTTTATTTTAATTATTTGGAAGGTAGAGTGACAGAGAGAAATTCCATTCTCTGGTTACTTCCCGACTTGGCTACAAAAGCTGAGGCACGGTCAGGTTGGAGCCATGATGGGGAATTCCATGCAGGCCACCCACCCTGGTGGCAGGGACCTAGGCACTTGGTCCACCGCCTACTGCTTCCCCAGGCACATTAGCAGAGAGCTGAATTGGAAGTGGAGCATGGGCCTGGCACAGTGGCCTGGCAGCTAAAGTCCTCTCCTTGAACATGCCAGGATCCCACATGGGCGCCGGTTCTAATCCCAGCAGCTCCACTTCCCATTCAGCTCCCTGTTTGTGGCCTGGGAAAGCAGTCAAGGATGGCCCAAAGCCTTGGGACCCTGCACCTGTGTGGGAGACCTGGAGGAAGTTCCTGGCTCCTGGCTTTGGATCTGTGCAGCACCAGCCTTTGTGGTCACTTGGGGAGTGAATCATTGGATGGAGGATCCTTCTCTGTATATCTGACTTGTCAGTTGGAGCAGCTGGGACTTGAACTGTTGCTCTGATCCAGTGTGTGTGAGTTGCAGGCAGCAGCTTACTGCACTGAACCACAATGTTGACTTTTACTGCTGGCCAATGGGGATCTGCTATGGACTGAGCTGTGATCCCTAAAAATTCACAAGCTGGAATCTGAGCTTCTAATCACCCAGCATTTGGAGGCAGCGCCTTTGCAAAGCTAAGGAAGCCAAAATGAGGCACTGAGCTGGGGCCAGTGGTCAGGGTCCCGGACAGGGAAAGCCACTATAGCTGTGCCAAGAGTGCAAGCACCTGAGCACACAGTCTTATCCCGGATATCCTCAACTGTGAGAGAAAACATCTCCTTTGAAGCCCCCAGAGGGTGGTATTTTTGTTACAGCAGCTTGAGAAGACAAATACAGGATGACACTTTTTTTGTTTGTTTGTTTTCTTTATTTTTTCTTAAGATGTGATCGTACTTACTTGAAAGGTAGAGCAACAGTGTGGGGTGAGGGAGGAGCGAGATCTTCCTTCTTGCGGTCCAGTCTGACACCGGGAGCTCCATCCGGGTCTCCCACGTGGGTGCAGGATCCCAGGCGTGTGGGTCAGCTTCTGCTGCCTTCCTAAGCACTCAGCAGGAACCGAGCCGGACGCAGAGCAGCGGGGACTGGCACCGTCGTGGGAAAGCAGAGTTGCCGAGCCTGCCACGCGCGACCCCGACCTCTGGGGGACTGCCATGCTTTGCTAGACTGTCGCAGCCCGCACGTCCGGTGCGCGATTTCGTCTGGAGCAGGGTCCCCTCGCTGCCCCTCCCGGCCAGAGGCTTCAACCTCAACTCCTCGCTCACAGGCTCCCTCGCACGGAAGGGTGCCCCACCCGCCCCTCCACGCCTCCTCGCATCTCCGGTCCCTCTGCACCTGCGTTCTCCTGCCTCAGCCCTCCGTGCAGGATCAGCGGCTTACTCGGTTCCCAAGTCGCCCTCCACCTGCCCTTAGCACCAGCAGGGGTACAGTGTCCGCAAGGAGGTCTTGGGGTGAAGGGTCCAGTGCCCGGGACAGGACTCGAGGTCCCAGGAGTGGGGCGCGCTTCGGGATCCGGAGACGCCGCCGTGGGTTTTGGGGAAGAACCAGGGGCCGCTTGACCGGGGGGGTCGGGCCAGGACCCCACGGGAAAGTCAGCTTCCTTCCTAGCTCCCTGCTGCCCGGAATTCCCTCGCTCTCGGCCCGCCCGCGGAGCGGGGTCGTCGGGCCCGGCGGCAGGAGGGGGCGGGGAGGCCCGGGCCACCCAACCCCCGCCCCAGGCGTGCTCTTCGGGGAAACAAGAAGCGAGTCCTGGTCGGCCAGCGCCCTGGAGCCGGGTTCCGGGAAGAGAAACTCGCGGCTGCTGCTGCCCCCCGACCCTGGCGCTCCAGACAACGCTCACCTTTGAAGCGCTCCAAAGACGGTCTCTGGGGAGGGACGGCGAGACCACCGCCCGGCCTCCCTTCTCACTCGACTTTGGAAGATTAGGCCACTCCCCCGACACACCCGCCCCGCGCATCGGGGTGCACCGTTATCTGGACCTCTGCTCCAGCTGCCATCCTCGGACTCGGCGTGTGCCCCCCATCTCCTGGACCTGCTGCCATCGCTGCCGTGCGTCTCCAATCCCCATTTTGTCTCCTAGCACCCCTGGGGGAAACCCAGACCTCTTGTCCACCTTCCCAATCGACGCGGAATCCCCGTGACTCTGCTGGTCCATGACCCATTCCTGCAGGTCCCTAGAGAGGCACGGGGGTCAGAAACCCTCGGAGCCCCGGGGTTGTCCGAGGCTGGAGCGCGCCATGCAGCTGCGGGGGTCGACGCTCGCGCCCCGGCTCCGACTCCTGGCGTTGCTGCTGCCGCTGCTGCCGCCGCCCGTGCGCACCCTAGAGCCCACCCGGGCTCAGGACGTGAGCCAGCTCGTGGTGAGCCCGGGGATCCACCGGGCCGGGCGGGCTGCATGGAGGAGGCGACGGCGGGGGCTGGGGCCTGAGACGCTGGAAGTGACTGGGGATGGGTGTGGGCCTGGATGTGGGTCTGTCCGAGGTTTTCCGACCTTGTTTTAGAGCCTGGAAAGGAGCTTCGGGGAACCGCGCGGGAGGTGGGGGGTGGGGAGGTTTGGGCGGGAGAGCCCGAGGTTTAAGGACCTGGGAGAGGGGTGGGATTTCCAGGATAGGGACGGCTTGGGCAAGTCCAGTCCATTTAACTGTCCCGGCTTTGCTGATCCTCCTTCAGGACTGGCTGACCCGCTATGGCTACCTGCCGCCCCCCGATCCCGCCCAGGCCCAGCTGCAGAGCCCGGCCAAGCTACGGGATGCGCTGAAGGTCATGCAGAGGTTTGCGGGGCTGCCGGAGACAGGCCTCATGGGTAGGTGTCCCATGCCCTCACATCAGTTGGCCCCGGCTCTGTGTCCACCCGACCTTGCGGCCCAACTGGGGCGGCCTCAGGCTTGTGTCTGCTCAGAAGTTGAGGGCCATCTCTCTGCTGGGGTGCAACAGCAAATGCAGGCAAGGTCCTGCTCCCACCAAGGAGCTCCCGGAACTAGAGACAGGGAGGCAGCTAGAAGGACCGGAAATCCACATGCACAGGATCACTCCCCACGGAGGTGGGTGTGCTGAAGTGAAGGAGGGGCTGGGCTGAGAACACTGCACCGCCAAGACCCCAGGGGCAGGGTCGAGCTTGTGTGTCTGGTACAGGGCTCCTGGGCGTTGAGGATCCCAGGGGCATTAATGACCAGGGAAGGGTCTCCAGGAATAATGCATGAAGCCCCTGGGCTTGCAGTTTTAAGATCGCTGCAGTTACAGATGGAGATGGTGGTGCAGTGGCTGGAGACAGGCATGTGTGTGGCCAGAGCAATTGAACTTGGAGTGTGCCTGAAGGGTAGAGGTGTGCGGCACCTCTTCAGGGGTACAAGCGAAGGAAGAGGGAGCTTGTGGGATTCTGGTGGGCTGCAAGGGAAGGCAGGTCCCTCTTCTGTCCTGTCTGGTCTTGTGCGGCCCCACTGTAAGTTACCCTATCAGCACCCTGTGGTGTGAGCTTAGGGAGGAGGAAGATGGTCCTGGAGCCAGGAGGGCCAGGCTTGTGGCCAGTGACAGGGCTGCTGGGATGTGAGGTGCAGGCTACCGGTCACAGGTCTGGGTCCTTGATGCGCCACCTAGAGGAGCTGAGAGATGGAGGACCCAGGTCACAGTCTGGCCAGGAGGAAGCTGGGCAGTGCTGTGCCCAGTATTAAGGGTGACCCCGCCAAGGAGGGCACAGGGGCAGCCGAACCAGCTTTGGGATGAGGGTGGGTCCCAGGTTCAGATCTCTGAGCTGTCCCCCATGTAGGGCTGGCTGGCTGTTGGCTCCTCTCCTGGGCCCACCGCCTGGCTGGCTGACGCACCCCACTGTCTCCCACAGACTCCCAGACGGTGGGTGCCATGCACAAGCCCCGCTGCTCCCTGCCAGATGTGCTGGGGGCCGCGGGTCTGGTCAGACGCCGCCGCCGCTATGCCCTGAGTGGCAGTGTGTGGAGGAAGCAGTCCCTGACGTGGGGGTAAGTCTTGGAGCCCACTGCCTGGGCCAGCCACTTGGCCCTACTTCTCATGGTGGCCCTGTCCCTCCACGGCTACCCTAACAACCCTCTGTCTCCACAGGGTGCGCTCCTTTCCCCAAGGCTCCCAGCTGAGCCATGGCAAAGTACGGACTCTGCTGAAGCACGCACTGGCCGTGTGGGGCTCAGAGTCGGGGCTCACTTTCCATGAGGTGGACACCGGGCACCAGGAACCTGACATCCTTATTGACTTCGTTCGGGCCTACCACCAGGACAGCTACCCCTTCGACGGGCTTGGGGGCACCCTGGCCCATGCCTTTTTCCCTGGGGAGCACCCCATCTCTGGGGACACACACTTCGATGATGAAGAGATCTGGACTTACGGGGTGGAAGGTAACACCTCTTGGGAGATGTCCTTCACCGGGGGCGGGCTCCTGGGAAACTGCTGTTAGTGCAGCTGGCCAGTGGGGACCCAGACACGCAGAAGGTACTGTGTGTGGACTTTAAACATTTGTTTATTTATTGAAAAAGCAGAGCTACAGAGAGGCAGAGGCAGAGGCAGAGATTTCCCTGTATCTGCTGTTTCACTCTCCACACAGCCAGGCCAAAGCCAAGAGCTTCTTCTGGGTTTCCTACATGAGTGCAGGAGCTCCAAGTACCTGGGGCATCCTCTGCCACCTTTCCCAGGCACATTAGCAGGGAATCGGGTTGGAAGCGGAACAACCAGGACTCAAACCGGCACATAACTGGGATGGCAGTGCTGCAGGTAGTGGCTTAACTTGCTACTCCACAGGGCCAGCCCCATTATTTTTAATATTTTCCTTAATTTATTTTATTTCTTATTTCTTTATTTCAAAGTCAAGAGCCAGGCACTCCCTCTGGGTCTCCCATGTGGGCGGCAGGACCCAGCACCTGAGCCTTCCCTTGGGTGAGCACTGGCAGGAAGTTGACATGGGAATGTGTGCTGGGAGTCAGGCAGGCACTGACACAAGCTGCAGGTGCCACCTGTCCAGTGTACTCACTGAGAGGTGTCCACAAAGGAACTGGCCCACGGTGAGCACCACCTTGCAGGAGCCACAGGTGGGGAGCCTCCCTCAGAGCTAGCCCAGGGCAGGGGCTAGGTACAACAGCACATGCCCAGCAGTGCCTGGACTCGGGTTTGACCAAACAGTGGGTCAGGTGGCCAGGCTCAGGTGACAGGGGAAGTCAGCCTCCCAGCACACAAAGTCCTTCCCAACAGCTGAGTCAGTAGAGTTGCTCCACACAACCAGTGACACAACCGCATGAAATTACAGCACAGAAGCCCTGGCTGTGGGTGCACGGGGTTGGGGGGGGGGGGACACTTCCTGCAAGAGATGGCTCCCTCACCCGGGTCCCAGCAAGGCACCCGGGTCCCAGCAAGGCACCAAGTGCCACAGGGCCCGCACTGTGGGAGGAGGGCAAGTCCAGGTCCCAGACACTGGGACAACAATGGGACTCTGCAGGCAGCGGGTTCCTTCTGGAAGGATCCTGCCCAGAGGATGCTGGGACAGAGCATGGATGCAGCAACCTCTGTGGGAGCCCTGGGTCTGCAGAGATGGGGGCTAAGAGGTGTCTGAAATGGGCCAGGGTGGGCGAAACCTGGGGTCTGGCTGGATCCTGTGTGCAAGGGTGGGTGCAGTCCGGTGCAAGTCTGGGGGGCTGTGCTCCCTGTCCACAGGAAATGGAACTCCCCAGAGCTGGTGCTCCAGAGGGGAATTCCTGTGCATGTGCTGGAGTGGGGCAGGGGCTGAAGAAGCAATGGAGAGAGGAGAAGCTGAGCCAGGGTTTGGTCTGGCTGGAGAGGAGTGCTCAGTGGATCCACAGCCTCTTGGAGCAGGGTCCTGCTGGTGGGAGACCCAGCTCTGCTCCGTGCACCAGCTCTAGGCAGGGAAAAGTGGTGGTGCCCAGGCCCTGCTGGGGTACTCACACTAGTGAGTGGTGAAGACAGACTACGAGGTGATGTAGGCAGGGCATGGTGGTGTGGATGGTGAGGTGTATGGATGGAGAAGTGATGGATGTAGAGAATGATGTGGTGTAGACAGCAGGTGGTATAGACAGGCAGTGAGCTGGTTTAGGCAGCGATAATGTGGACTGAGTCCGAATCAAGTCAGCCTTCCCCGTCCTCCCCACCCCCACCCTGTCCCTGCAGCATGCAGGGTTACTTAGCCTCGCTGCCTTGGCTGAGTGGAGCCTGAGTGGTGCGGTCTGTGGGTTCAGGAGTGAGTCACCCGCAGCTCTCAGCTCAGTTTACTTGGCGGCCAGGAACGGGGTCTGAAAGCAGCAGCATGGGGGCTGGGAAGGTTCCTGGAAGAAAAACGAAGATGAAGGTCAGGCACAGGGCCGAGGTGGGGAGGGGGATGCCCCGAAGCCCAGGAGCGGTGCGCTGAGGGAGGATCAAATGGAGGACTGTGATGGAAGACAGTGAAGGAGGACAGTGATGGAGGACAGTGAAGGAGGCCCTCCACAGGCCCTTCTCGGAGCTCAAGGGTCCTCAGGGTCCTCGCTGCTGCAGGCTTGCTGGGGAATCGGGGGGAGCATCCAGACTGCAGAGGAGCTGGGATGGAGTGGTGGAGAGGGAGTACAGACCATGGACCAAGGACTGGGCTTGGGGTGGACAGAGGGCAGTGTGAACTGGGACGGGGGACTTTAGGGTGGGAGGTTGTGAGTGTCAGACCTGGGTGAGCCAACAGGAAGAAAGGGTTGGTGGACAGACAGGTGGGTGGAGGGAGACACAGGACCTGATGCTGGAGGGGATGAAGGAGCAGATTATTCATCCTGGGCAGGGCCAAAGGAAACACAGAGCCCGGAGTGTGTGACAGCCCGCCTGGGTGAAACAGGAAGAAGCATTTTTGGGTTCACCTGTCACCCAAGGTCTAAGGGGAGAGAGCAGGGGGAGCTGAGGGATAGGAGGTCACCATGTCCTTTGGGGCCGGGCTGCACCGTTGTGTAACTTCCCCCTGCTGGGTAGCGTGACAAGGACGCAGCCAGCCTGCAGCACCCGGAAGCCCGACAAGAGGCCAGGAAGGTACCAGAAGAAACTGAGCTGGTGTGGATACCACAGATCTTCCGGTTTCTTGGGAGAGGGACTTGGGGCCACCATGGCTGCCCACAGTTGCTGCAGGAATAGTGGGCTGCCCCTGACCCTGGCGCTGCTGCTGCTCCTGTGTGCTCCGGGCTCAGCTCCGTGAGATGGGCCGCAGCACCCAGACGGCCTCACCCTCTCTGTACGCACCTGCTTATTTCCCATGAGGCCCTCCCTGAAGGCGTTCAGGGCTGAAGAGCTGGGATTAAGAAGAGGCTATGCCCTGGCACAGGGCTGGATCCCAAGGGAAGAGGCTGGGAGGAGGTGGGCGGCCAGCCAGCAGGCTGTGGCCTGAGAGTGCCTGCTGCAGGGAGCCCCTATTCTGGGCGGGGGGGATGGAGTGAGAGAGGGAAGCTGAGGCCAGATTAGCCAGCAGTGTGGTGGGGAATAGCTGGGCCTGGGGGGGAGGGTGGCGGGAAGAGGTGTATGTACCCCATGGAGGCCCCCGAGCTCTCCCCGGTATATACACCAAGCCTTACAGCAGGGGCGTGCGACTCCAGAGCCTGCCCTCTCCTTCTGCCCCCTCTGCCCTGCTCCCCAGATGGTGAAGGGACTGACCTGTTTGCTGTGGCTGTCCACGAGTTTGGCCACGCCCTGGGCCTGGGGCATTCCTCCGCTCCCAGCTCCATCATGAGGCCCTTCTACCAGGGCCCCGTGGGTGACCCTGCCACGTACCGGCTGTCCCAGGATGACCTCGAGGGCCTGCAGCAGCTGTATGGTAGGACACCGTGAGTGTAAATGTGGGGTTTTAGAGGGTTGGCATCAAAGCAGCCAGGACATCGCCCTAGGACACCCAGGACGCCGCAGGCCCAGTGATCCACACCTCACTGTCTCCCCCAGGTAGAGTGCACCAAACCCCACACAGGCCCACTCGGAGACCCCTGGCTCCTCCGCAGCCCTCCACCCAGCCTCCGGACAGGAACAGGTGAGTACCAGGGCATCACCTTGGGTGAGACTGGACGCAGGAGTCCTGCCAGGTGGGACGGTCACAGAGTGCAAGAGCGACTCAGGCCTCTTCTTCCATCCCCAGGCCTTCTGTTCCCACCCAGGATCGGTGTGAGGGCAATTTTGATGCCATCGCTAACATCCGCGGGGAGACCTTCTTCTTCAAAGGTGCCGACCTCAGACGGCCCTTGGCCCTGCCCTCTAGCTCTCCACCCAACTGGGTGACTCTCCTGGGCTCTGGGGGTTTCCTGGGGGAAGTGGGCACTTGGGTGCCCAAAGGGGGACTCTCCAGCAAGTCACAGAGGAGCAGGGATCCCCCTATCCACAAGGGGGTTTCCAAGAGGATCTGGTCCTGGAGAGTGACCCCAGCCTCTCCCACCTCATGTCCCCTGCCCCCAGGGCCCTGGTTCTGGCGCCTGCAGCCCTCCGGACAGCTGGTGTCCCCACGGCCTGCAGGCTTGCATCGTTTCTGGGAGGGGCTGCCCGCCGAGGTGAAAATGGTCCAAGCCGCCTACGCCAGGCCCGGTGACGGGCGCATCCTCCTCTTCAGTGGTGAGTGGGGCCCGGGCAGGGCTGGGGGCTGGGCCCGGGTGTGCAGGGCTGAGCCGGGCGGCAGAGATGGAGGGAAGTGGACCGTCCGACTTGGACCTGACGCTGCTTCCGGCTCCCTAGGCCCGCAGTTCTGGGTGTTTCGAGATCGGCAGCTAGACGGCTCTCCGCGGCCGCTCACCGAGTTGGGCCTGCCGCCTGGGGAGGTGGTGGATGCCGTGTTCTCGTGGCCGTCCAACGGGAAGACCTACCTAATCCGCGGCCAGCGCTACTGGCGCTTTGACGAGGCGGCCGGGAGAGCCGACCCCGGCTATCCCCGCGACCTGAGCCTGTGGGAAGGGGCGCCGCCCGCGCCCGACGACGTCACGGTCAGCAACACAGGTAGGGCCGAGGCTGGGGGCCGGCGAGCCAGGGGGTCAGGCCGGTGGGCACACTGACGCAGCCCTGCGACGCGAGGGGACAGGGCGGGAGCGCGCCCGAAGCGTCCTTCCTTCCCCCTCTCCTGCCCTCCTCAGGCGACACCTACTTCTTCAAGGGCGCCCACTACTGGCGATTTCCTAAGGGCAGCGTCAAGGTCGAACCCGACTTCCCCCAGCCCATGGGGCCCCAGTGGCTGGACTGCCCTGCCTCCACCTCTGACCCTCACGTTCCCAAGCCCCCTCAAGCGACTCCCAGGTCGAGAGCCTGCGATTGCAAGTGCGAGATCAACCGGGCTGCGGGCCGGCTCCCCGATCCCTTGCTGCTGCCCCTATTGCCCTTGCTGGCTGGGGCCGTCGCCTCCCGCTGACCGGCGGACGTTCTGTGCGGAGCGCCCCCAGACTGGACAGGGGCGGGACGTGGCCGGAGATGGCGAGGCTCCGCAGGGCCAGCCGCTGTCTGTTGCCAGGGTCGGTGGTTCTCACGAAGACCCAACAGAAGGCTCCGCCTGGGACTCGACCTCCGCTCCTGCACCCCGGGCCCGCTCGGTCCTCTACGCTCCCGGGCCGGGCAGCCGCCAGAGGGCGGTGCGGATTCGCTCCCAGCCGCGCGGCATCCGTGGCCACAGGTGCGCGCCGCCGGGGTCCAGCAAGGGCCTCCGGGCCTGCTGCACAGGACCAGCCCTGCTCGCCCCCACTCGGGTCAGTGGAAAGGGACGCTGCCCCAGCGGGACCCTCCTGTTGTCCCTGGAACAGCACACCCTGAACATCCCAACCCACCCCACGCCACGCCCTATGCCTGTACGAGTCTGTGGAGGACAAGCCTGCTCCCCGCCCCGCCCAGACTCCCTACTCCATCCTGCTCTCCTGAATTTCCATTGGCCGGCCTGCGATGGGGCCCCCAACTCAGCTGGGAGACTCCTCCCTAGGAACCCATAATCACGAACCACCTGGGAGAGCTCATTTCCATCTCACCTGGTCCAGAGTGCCCCCTGTCCGGTTCCATCTCAAGTTCTCCCACCTGCACTTGTGTGGTCTCAGCTGCCTTGGGGCAGGTGGGGACTGCCACATCTATCAGCCACTAAAGTGGCTGCAGCTCAGGGTGAGGGGTGGTGAAGCCTGGGCCACCTCATTCACAACCCACTCCCAGGTTCAGAGCCTCAGTCATCATCTCTGGAGCTGTGTTTCCGGAATCTTCATTCTGGGGTGGGATGGGTAGTCTGCATATTCACGGGCTGCAGGAGTGTGTGTGGGGTGGGGGTGGGAGCAATGTCTGCCTGGTTGCTGTCTGGGGTGTTGCTGAGTCTCTCATTTGCCCCTAGAGGGCCAGTGCCAGGAATTTGCTACGGATCCCTCCAGACCCTGGAGTTGTCAGCACAGTCTCAGTCATGGGGCAAAATGCCCCAAGTTGTCATGACCTTTGCAGGCCAATAGGGGCACGAGAGCCAGGGGTCCAGAGCTGATTGTGACCCAGCAGAGGATTGACAGACAGACGCTTCTGGCGTCCTCTCTGATGACTAGTGGCATCTTAGGATCGGCTTGTGGGCACTTTGATCTCGTGTGTGTAAGGAAAGCAGACACCTGGCCCAGCAGTTCTCAGCACCAAGAAGCCAATGTGGGTCTCCACTTGATCCCTTTCCAAGTGGGAGGGGATGCCCAGTACCAGCCAGGAGGACAGGACAGGACATGACAGTGTGCCGAAGGCAGCCTGCAGGACTCGGGTGAATGGAAGCAGAGCAGAACCAGGGAGCGGGCCAGGGCGGGCTGTCTGCTGAGATGCTGAGGCGCTTTCAATGTGGCAGTGTCTCTGGCCTCTGAATCGGCTCACCAAGGGTGTCCGTGAGACTCGCATGCCAGGAATGGGCCCAGCAGCCCCACCACCCAAGCTGGCCACTCTGATCCTCCCATGGAGTTCTCTGCTGCTCATGTGTCTGATAAGGGGCTAGCACCACGGCTTACCCCTGGACACATGCTCTCCATCCATTGGCCTGGGGTTTGGAGAGCAGGTGAGGAGAGGGGCATTGCTCTGTGGCTGGGGCATGCAATGTGGTTAGCCGTGGGAAGAAAGCTGGGCTGCTGCCCAAGAGATGAGACCCACAGCAGACCCCGGGGCTAGAGTCACAAGCCAGAGCGTGAGCACGTGACCCTGTGCAGGCAGGCATTCACAGGGGACCCCGGATGGATCAACCCTAGACAACGCCAGAAACTCGGTGTGGCCGGTCCACTTCCTTCAGCTCCACGAGGGAGGACAGCACTACCACACACTGCAGTGGAACGCTGCCTGTAGCTGGCATCCCACGGAGCTCTCATTCAAGTCCCGGCTCCTTCGCTTCCAACCTCACTCCCTGCTAATGTGCCTGGAAAGGCGGCAGATGGCCCAAGTCCTTGGATCCCTGCTACTCCAAAGGAGACTCAGAAGAAACACCTGGCTGCTGGCTTTGGCCTTGCCTGGCCATGATGTCCATTTGGAAGATTGAACAAGCATATGGAAGATTCTCTGCTCTGTGACTCTACCTTTCAAATAAACACATAAACTCTAAAGAAAAAGTTTTTTGAACGACTTGGGCACAGACCCACCGTGGGAGAGTCCGTCAGTAGAGGCAGGGAGGCTCGGAACTGACCCCACCCTCATGCATGTGTCCAGGTGTGCACCCCAGCCAGCGGGGCAGGGGCAGGGAGGTCTTGGCTCTGCAGGCTGGGAATGTTGGAGCAGGAATGAACAGGGACAAGCTGTGCAGAGCTGCAAGGGGTCCTAGGCTGGATGCTGACCTGGGGTCTGGGGCAAGGACGCTTGGAGTGGAACTTCAGTCTTCTCAAGGGCCTTGAGCTTCAAGAGAAGTCCAGAGGTGCCCCTGGCACCTCCTTCCCTCAGCCCCTGGCTTCCAGGGCCACCCAGGTGTGCAGCAGGTTCAGGGGCTGCTAATCTTCTCCAGACTGTGAACTCTGCGGTGCCCATCCTGCGGTAACACCTGTCCTTCCCCTGAGCTCTGGGAATCCCTACCTGACAGGCCCAGTCTCGGCTTTCCCACTACCATTTCCTCCTCTCAGGCTGTCTGGGATCAGGGGGACCCCTTAATGTGGTCACCTCAAGTTCAAGTCTATTTTTACCTCTCTCTCTTTTAAAGCATTCTATTTATTCACTTTAAAAGATTTATTTATCTTTATTGCAAAGTCACATATATATAAAGAGAAGAGACAGGGAGAATTATCTTCCATCCGATGGTTCATTCAAGTGACTGCAATGGCCAGTGCTAAACCGATCCAAAGCGAGGAGTCAGGAGCTTCTTCCTGGTCTCCCACACAGGTGCAGGGACTCAAGGCTTTGGGCCATCCTTGACAGCTTTCCCAGGCCACAGGCAGGGAGCTGGATGGGAAGTCGGCAGCCGGGAATAGAACCAGTGCCCATATGGGATCCTGGTATGTTCAAGGTGAGGACTTTAACTGCTACACTATTGTGGCAGGCCCAAAATTCTGCTCTTGAGGAGTGGACACACTGTGCACTTCTTAAAATAACATTTACTTATTTTGAAAGTCAGTTACACAGAGACAGGGAGAGAAAAAAAAATCTTTTATTTGTTGGTTTACTTCCTAGAAGACTGCAATGGCCAGCGATGAGCCAAGCCAAAGCCAGGCACTTCTAGGTCTCCCGGATGGGTTGCAGGAGCCCAGACAGAGCTCCCAGCAGCAAGTGTCTAGAGGGAGGCTCCTCTAGTCCAGGATGGAGGCAGCAGGTGGATATGGTTAGCTTTCTGGACCCGAGAACTCGCCCTGCTTGCAGTGGCACAGACTGGGGAGCCAGGAGCAAGGCCTGAAGGTGAACCAAGTTTAGGAGCTCAGAAGAGCCCCTCTTCCTGTTTCAGGATGAAGCACTGGGTTCAGCTTCTTCCTCCTCAGGCAGCAACCAGCAGCTACTATGAAAGTGGGATGGGGGCCCAGCATGAAAACCTAGTGGCTAAATCCTTGCCTTGCATGTGCTGGGATCCCATATGGGAGCCATCTCCTGTCCCGGAAGCCCCACTTCCCATCCAGCTCCCTGCTCGTGGCCTGGGAAAGCAGTCAAGGACAGCCCAAAGCCTTGCGCCCCTGCACTTGCATGTAACAACTGGAGCAAGTTCCTGGCTCCTGACTTCGGATGGGCTCAGCTCTGGTTGTTGTGGTCACTTGGGGAATGAATCATCAGACGGAAGATCTCCCTCTCTGTCCCTCCTCTTCTCTGTATATCTGATAAGACTAGGGGCTGGCTCAGTGGGTTAAACTACTTAGCTTCCAGTCCAACTCCCTACCAATGCACAGAGGATGGTTCAAGTTCTTGGGAACCTGTCCCCCACATGGAAAGTCAAGAGTTTGTCAGGCCCAGCTCTGCCTGTTGTGGCAATTTGGGGCATGAACCAGTGGACCAAAGACTCCTGGCTGTCATCCAAATAGATCTAAAAGCAAAAATTAGCCACACCTCTAAGCCTAGCCAATCACAGTCAATAACCTTCTACTTTTCCTGTCCCTCGAAACATGTGTTTCCTTCTCCTCAGCCTGGAGTGCTGTCCCCTGGGGCTTTGGAAGTGGCCTACCTGGTGCGTACCAGGCCTCATTCTCCTTCCTAACCCATGCCATGGTCAGAGACCAAGCCTGGACTCCCTGAACCATTCTGTGGCCGGCGCCCAGGCCTGGGGCCCTTCAATGTGTGGATGCCAACTCTGGCTCCTTCTGGATCTCGACACTTTGTCCCCACCTCACTTGGCTGAAGTTAATGTTCTCACGACATCCAGATGTCTGTCCCCCACTTCCCAAACCTCCCCTCAACCCCAGGCTGCCATGGTGCCCAAGATCTGTTTAGACTTTCTCATTGAGTTTGGGTCAGTTGTCCACTGGGTGTCAAGTCCAGGCCTTCCCAATGAAGCTGTGGAGGTAACCAAAACACAGAGTCGATTTCCTGAAAAAAAACATCTGGTTAGAAACAGGAAGGGTGGTATGCTCTTTTACATTTCCTGTGGTTTCTTCGGTTTTCAGTAGCAACTGGCACCGTGGCCGCCCAGGGTGGAGGACATGGGCACAGCGTTGCCTTGAGCAGGCTGTTGCACATCTGTGAAGAGTTCCTGGTCGAGAACAAGACACTGTCCACAATAATCTAGCATCTGGACTTTTACTTAGGTCACGTGTGAGGAGCCAGGCAGGGCTACAGGCTGCTGCCCAGGCTTAGGGGTCCACACAGCACGGTAAGAGGATGAAAATGGGGGGAAGAAGTAGAAAAACTTCAGGGTGAGAGTCCTTTGACAGCTGCCCTCCCCCCCCCTCTCTTGGCGCCCACAGGATAAGGGCTGGGGTTGGGTGAAAAGGAATGTGTGCTAAGGGTAGCAGGTGGGTTTAGAAAGGAACGGGTACTCCACGATTGTATTAGACTTGTTGGCTTCAGAAATCTGACACATTCTAGAAGGGGTGTGGCCAAGTCAGAGGCTCCAGCTGTGCACAGCTGGAGGACAAGCCTGGCAGGGCTAGCCTAGTACAATAACTCCTGGGTGTGGGTGCGCAGGTGGCGCAGCAGGTGCGAGT